TATGGTCGATTGTCCGGGCGTAAATTAGAAGATAATAGGGCGGGTGAACGGGTGGCCGTGGACTCGCGGAAGAAAAATCCAGCTGACTTTGCTTTATGGAAAGTGAGTCCTTGTTTATGGCTTAGTATTAGTAATGTTCTTATACGTTTGTTAGTGAAATGATTTTTCTTTATAAGTTTCAATGGCTTCAGCATGTAGACTTTTCTTTTATGTAAAAGAAAACTAGGCAAGTCTTAGCACAATTCAAAGAACAATTTGCAATCTGGCTTTTGGGGACTGAGGAATATTATTTGCTCGTTTTTTTAAGTCAGCGAAGGAAGGAGAACCATATTGGGAAAGTCCATGGGGTCCCGGAAGGCCTGGTTGGCATATCGAGTGCAGTGCAATGAGTGCAGCTTACTTAGGTTTCTCTTTCGACATACATGGTGGTGGGATGGATCTGGTTTTCCCCCATCATGAGAATGAGATTGCGCAAAGCTGTGCAGCATGTCAAGAAAGTAATGTTAGCTATTGGGTGCATAATGGATTTGTGACCATTGATTCGGAGAAAATGTCAAAGTCTCTTGGAAACTTTTTCACCATACGACAGGTACAAGGATGATGAATGATTTAAGACCTATTATGTCAATTATCCTTTGACGGTTTAGCTTCTTAGCGGCCTGGCCTCTATTTTCTCTTGGTTTAATATTCAGGTTATAGAACTTTACCATCCACTGGCTTTGAGGCTTTTCCTTATGGGAACGCACTATAGGTCCCCAATCAATTACTCAGAGCTACAGCTTGAAAGTGCATCAGATCGTCTTTTCTATATTTATCAGGTATAGCAAGTATTCAAGTTTTGATTAGTCCACTATATTAGGAATTGAAGTTGAAAAAAAATTAAAAAAACTAGGATTTTCGCATTAGAACTGAAGGCCTTCTTTTTTCTCCCCTGTTCCATTTGCATTATAACTGAAGACTATTTTATTTTCTTGTTCCATTGTGTATACATGTCATTTTCTTCCTGAATTTAATCAGTGTGAGCTTCTTGTCTGCAGTAGCCAAGATTGCCTGCAATTGTTGTGTGACTTTTATATGCCTTCAAACTCACTTTTAGGAGATCAGGATATCATGACCTGAATTGATGTGATTTCAAAGCGAAAAATCTGACTCTTGAAGCTTATCAAGAATTTGTGGTTGTGATTACTATATTGGATAACATTTTGTTGTTCAGTTTGTGTTTGCATTCTGGTGCTACAATTGAAAACGACATCTTCTGCTATATTATCTTGGACAAACTATCATTGCATGTACTAAACATGGCTTTGGTTCATAATTTTATAAAAGCTGCTTATTGGGTGCAGACATTGCACGATTGTGAGAGTATAGTAACTCAGCATGATGCAGCTGGTCTGGAGAAAACCATTTCATCTGGAGTAGCGACTTGTATCAATAAATTTCATGACGAATGGTTAATGTCAATGTTGGATGATCTTCATACTCCTGTAGTTTTGGCTGCAATGTCTGAGCCACTGAAGACCATCAACGATCTGTTACATACTCGGAAGGTACTTTTGGTTTCAATTGATCCATAAGCAATTTTAAATTCTAATAATGTTTTGCATTCTCTTCTTTGGTATATAAACTTGATGTACTTCAATACTTTTTGCTCTAAGTTGAAATAAGTGACTGGTATTTGAATAACAATGTAGCAATTGGTAGTAAAAGAAGCCTTTTATTATAAATCTATGTAACCGGGATGAATTTGCACCATTGAATTTGTTCCATTTTTCCCTAATTTATTTGCAACAGCTTTTGTATTATGCATCATAATTTTACTGCACTGTCAAGGTGAGTTTGATTTCTGGGCCTTAAAGACCTGAGTATTTCTTTGTGCAGGGAAGGAAGCAAGAAATGAGAATTGAGTCACTGGCAGCAGTGGGAAAAACAATTAGAAATGTTCTTACTGTCTTGGGGCTCTCGCCGGATAGCTACTCTGAGGTTAGATTAGTTATTTCTCTTTCTATGCCTCACACGAAATTTCATCATATCTTTACCGCTGGACTAAAAAAGTAGAATTTCTTGCTTTTATTAGTTGTTTTGCAAATTGTGATCGAGTTAATTTAGACGTGAATCATGATACAGGCATTGCAGCAACTGAAAGATTATGCACTGAGACGTGCTAAGTTGACCAAAGATCAAGTTATGCTGAAAATTGAAGAAAGGAATGCTGCAAGAAATAATAAAGAGTATGAAAAATCTGATGCAATTCGGCAGGAATTAGCTGCTGTAGGGATTGCACTCATGGACAGCCCAGACGGCACCACCTGGAGACCAGCTATTCCTCTTGCTATACAAGAGTTGCAGCTTGCCTCGAGTTGAAACACCTCAATTTCGAAATGTGGTATCATTTAAGATGTTAAACCTCCCAAGTAGCTCTATTTATAACGGGTTTTGAACTGTTGCTATTTTGCCTGGAAATTTAAGCATGGAAGTGCCCTACTTATCAGGGGTGTAAAAATACATTAGTGAAAATTTCCCTATTAGTTTATAAGTTGCTTTGTTCAGAAGCACTTCCATCATCGGTTATTTGGAGACATACATATTATTTTTTATAACAGAATTTGGTGCCATTTTCTCTTTCCGTGTGTGTGTGTGTGTGTGTGAGAGAGAGAGAGAGAGAGAGAGAGAGAGAGAGAGAGAGAGAGAGAGAGAGAGAGAGTTTATTTGATACTATAGTGTACATTTGAAACAATATGGTTCAGTTACAAGCGGGAACTTGAATGGATGGTATCTGAACAAATAATATTGACAAAGGTGAGACCGTGATTGGCTCCAAGGCATTTGCCCTTTTAGGTTCCAATTGAGGTATCACACCAGATGAATTCACAGACAGTATTGCCCCATTCAGCCGCATTGTTCGGCTGTGTAAATCGCCATTTCCAGCTGTTAGATGGTACTCGTCTCTCCCCATCTCACTGTATCTCGTCTCGTTTTTGTATGCTCCACTGAATTCTGTTTTCCCAGTTTGCTGAATAATTTGTACGTGTGTCAATGTCTTGTTTGGGATGACATTTCCAATCGAAAGATCGACTTGAACTGTTGTGTGGTTATCCAGGTTGATCAATAGCAATGTGATTCCAACCTGTGA